AAAGGAAAAATTTTTTTAAACAAAATAAAAATAAAAGAGACCAGAAAAAACTCTTTCCCCTCTTTCTGGATGGGAGGACACAAGAAGGTAGCCGTCTCCAAGCCGAGAAGAGAGCCCTCACTAGAACCCAAACACATGGGTGCCCGATCTTGAACTTCAAGCCTCCAGAACTATGAGAAATATGTTTCTGTTTTTATAAGCCACCCAGTCTGTGGTACATGCTATAGCAGCCTGAACTAAGACACCCAGCTAGGGCTAAAGTGACTGATCTCCTGAAGTTCCTCGGAATAAGTGGGGAGGCAGTCCCTGACCTATTGGCAGAGGCCTTGCACTGGTCCCTTCTGTATTTCAGTGAATCTTTAACACTTTTTTTTTTTTTTTTTTTTTTGAGACGGAGTTTCACTCTTGTTGCCCAGGCTGGAGTGCAATGGCGTGATCTCGACTCACCTCAACCTCTGCCTCCCAGGTTCAAGTGATTCTCCTGCCTCAGCCTCCCGAGTAGCTGGGATTACAGGCATGCGCCACCAAACCCGGCTAATTTTATATTTTTAGTAGAGACGGGGTTTCTCCATGTTGGTCAGGCTGGTCTCGAACTGCTGACCTCAGATGATCCATCCGCCTCAGCCACCCAAAGTGCTGGGATTACAGGTGTGGGTCACCACACCCGGCCCTGAATCTTTAATACTTTTGTAGCAAAATTTTCCTTTATTGTTTTCTTGGACTACATACTCATGACTACTATTATTTTTTACTATCATTAGTTTCTAACAACTAAATATCTTAAAATGTTCTTATTTAAAGTTTCTGGGTGGGTGAATTATTATTAATTAATTTGTTTATTTATGAAAGAGTCTTGCTCTGTTGTCCAGGCTAGAGTGCAGTGGTGCAAACATAGCTCATCACAGCCTCGAACTCCCAGGCTCAACCAGTTCTCACGCCTCAGCCTCCTGAGTAGCTGGGACTATAGGTGCATGCCATCATGCCTGGCGAAACACTCAATTAACTTATTTATTTATTTATTTTGAGACAGAGTCTCACTTTGTCATCCAGGCTGGAGTGCAGTGTCACAATCTTGGCTCAGTGCAACCTCCGTCTCCCAGGTTCAAGAGATTCTCATGCCTCAGACTCCCAACTAGCTGGGATTACAGGTGCCCGCCACCATGCCCAGCCTAATTCTTATATTTTTAGCAGAGATGGGGTTTCACCATGTTGACCAGGCTGGTCTCGAACTCCTGGCCTCATGTGATCTGCCCACTTTGGCCTCCCAAAATGCTGGGATTACAGGTGTGAGTTATTGCGCCCAGTCTGAAACATTCGTTTTAAAAGAGACTTTTGTATTAACCTTATAGTCATTAGAATGTGTAAACATATTACTGATTAAAATGTAATCATTTTAATTTAACTGATTTAACAGCTTGTTTTAGGCAAAAAAATAAAAAAAAATAAAAAAATAAGAAGGGGGAGCAAGAAGAAGGAAAAAAGAGAAAAAGTGGAAGAACAAGGGGAAGAATTAAGTGAAAGGAAGGACTAATCTCCCAGTCCTCCCTATTGATAGCAGTGCCTCCCAGAGGGTGGCCCGCCATCAGCTGCATCAGATATGCTGGGGATACTTAAAAATATAAGTAACTGAGGCCGGGCTCAGTGGCTCACACCTGTAATCCCAGCACTTTGAAAGGCCAAGGTGGGAGGATCTTGAGCTCAGGAGTTCAAGGCCAGCCTGAGCAACACAGTGAGACCTCATCCCTACTAAAATTAAAAAAAAAAATTAGCCAGGCATGGTAGCACATGCCTGTATTCCCAGCTACTTGTGGGGCTGAGGTGGGAGGATTGCTTGAACCCAGGAAGTTAAGGCTGTAGTGAGCCCTCAACTGTACCACTGCACTCCAGCCTGGGTGACAGAGTAAGACCTTATCTTTAAGCGGGGGAGGGGGGTGGAAGTAGGTAACTGATCCCCATCTACAGAATCGGCATCTGGGAGTGGAATCCAAGGATCTGTTATCAAGTTACCCTCGTAATTCTGAGAAGCACTAAAGTTTGAGTACTACCCTTAAAGGAAGTGACTAATGAACTCACGAAAGTGACACCAAACCCTACCGTCTACTTAGAGCAGCTCACCCCATCCTAAACCGAGGCAAATATCCTAGCAGCTGGCACAAAGCTTCCCAGATTCGAAACCTCCCCAATCTAAACCTGTTAAGGAAAGCAGAGCATGTCGATTGCACAGAGATTGATGTAACAATACTTTCCAAAATTAAATGATTGAGAAGTATCCATTGGAACAGCATTTCACCTTGACCGTTACTGGGCATCATGATCATATGAGCTGACATTTACTGAGCGCTTACTATATGTCAAACATTGGGTTAATTGCTTTACATTTATTCATCTCATTTCATCCTTAGAGCAAAACTCTGTCATGGGTGCTATTCTTTATCTCCGCTTTAGAAATGAGGGTAGCAGGCTGGGCGCAGTGGCTCACACCTGTAATCCCAGCACTTTGGGAGGCTGAGGCAGGTGGATCACCTGAAGTCAGGAGTTTGAGACCAGCCTGGCCAACGTGGCAAAATCCCTTCTCTACTAAAAATACAAAAAATTAGCCAAGAGTGGTGGTGGGTGCCTGTAATCCCAGCTACTCAGGAGCCTGAGACAGGACAATTGCTTGAACCCAGGAGGTGGAGGTTGCAGTGAACCAAGATCATATCACGGCACTCCAGCCTGGGTGACAGCGGGAGTGAGAGCGAGAGTGCGGAAGGAAGGAAAAAAGAAAGAAAGATGGGAAAAGAAAAGAAAATGAAAATGAAAATAAATGAGGGGAGGGTAGCAGAGTAGCAGAGAAAGATAACTGAGAATGACAAGGAGTTGAGAATCCAGGTGGGCTACAGGATGCCAAGCAGAGCAGGGCCTTATGGCCCCAGGAGACCTAGTTCCAGTTGGGTTCTTTCCTAACCCACAAACCCACCAACAGCGTCATAGCCTCTGGGACAAATGCCCACAAATGCCCAGGGAAAACATTCCAGGTGGTCAAGAACCCAATTCCTAATGAAAGCTTGGAAAATGAACTATGCCTCAGTTCAGTCATCCAGAAATAGGGTTAATGTTTTACTCCTGGCAGGGTGCAGTGGCTCACACCTGTAATCCCAACACTTTGGAAGGACAAGGCAGGAAGATGGCCTAAACCCAGGAGTTGGAGACCAGCCTGAGCAACACAGTGAGACTCCATCTCTAAAAATAAATAAATAAATAGGCGTGGTGGTGCATGCCTGTAGTCCCAGCTACTGGGGAGGCTCAGGTGGGAGGATCCCTTGGGCCTGGGGGGATTGAGGCTGCAGTGAGCCATGACTGTGCCACTACACTCCAGCCTGGGCAACAAAGCGAGACCCTGTCTCTGGGGAAAAAAAAACAAATGACAACTTTTTTTCATCACTAGGTTCTTTTCTGATACACGACCAAGTAAGTACTAAGGAATTTTGAAAAGCAAAAGCACCAGACAAAAGGCATCCCAATTTTTCTTTAAGACAGTTGGGGATTAGCTTGGTTTCTCAGATGTTAAAAAAAAAAGAAAAAGTGAAAAAGACAGGTGGGGAAAACATTCCCAAGATAGTTTTTAAAAATTCGTGGTAGCAAAATCCTTGTGTTAAATGGTAGGAAATACACGTTAACGTCTACTCAGCCCATCCCAACTCCCGTTCTCTGCAATTTCGCCTCTGCCAGCTGCGTTTATATGTAACCCGGACTGTGGGCCACAACTGAGTTAGCTGAAGCATGGACAACTGGCGAGACCTGGACCAGTGGGGGTCTCTGTCTCGGGATTCAGAGAGAACTAATCAGCATCTTCCGGAGGCCAGAGCGAAGGGTGTGTGTCTGGGATTTGTGGAGCTGCCACAGGCAGCGGCAAGCACAGCACCCTGGTTCTCAGGAATAAGGAAAGCCTGCATGCTTAGGTGGAAACGAGTGACCACAGGCACTAGACAGAGACAGAGGACAGAGCCTGGGCCCCTGTCAGTGCCCCTACTCCCAGACCGGGCTCGGACTCATTCCTGCCCTTTTTTGCTACAGCCAGGACATGTGGATTTCTGGGTTGTTTTTTTTTTTTGAGATAGAGTCTCACTCTCGCCCAGCCTAGAGTATAGTGACGCAACCTCGGCTCACTGAAACCCCTACCTCCTGGGTTCCAGTGATTCTTGTGCCTCAGCCTCCTGAGTAGCTGGGACTACAGGTGAGCACCACCACGCCCAGCTAATTTTTGTATTTTTAGTAGAGATAGGGTTTCACCATGTTGCCCAGGCTGGAACTCCTGACCTCAGGTGATCCACCCACCTTGGCCTCCGAAAGTGCTGAGATTACAGGCGTGAGCCACCGTGCCCAGGCTGGATTTCTGTTTTTTGCAGCCAAAAAAAAAAAAAAAAAGGACTGAAAGGACTGACATGTGCAAAGCAGCAAGCTCCATAGCCCTTTGAGGAACCACGACCCCAAGGGTCGCCATACCTGCCTCTGTTGTTTCTTCTGAAACAAGGCTCCATCCATGGCTCCACGTCACCTTGGGATTTTATCCCAGCCTAAGCCTGGCTCACCTGTGCCCCAGTACCACCTCCCTGCACCTCAGCTGAACCTGCCCGCACTCTCTGGCTCCGTTTTACAGTTGCCACCTGGACAACGGACCAGACAACCATTCCAACTCAGGGTTAGAGCCCACTGTCATTCAACTGCCCAGGCTCCTCGCGTTGACCATTGTTTTCCATCTTCCCCCCATTTTAAAACGGAGCAAACTGTGAATGCAATGCAATGCATACTAGTGACTGGAAGCCTGAAAGCCTGGTAGCAGATTTAGCCTCTTTCTACCTAAATCCACCAAACAGCGGGGAAACGGCACCTCCGGAAAACTCGGAAAACTCATGAAGTCCACAGAAATCCTCCGTTCTGCCCTTAATCTGAAGGGCCCTGGGATTCCTCTTTCCCCACCCCTCTCAGACTCTCTCCCACTGCAGAGTCCTCAGCTGTACCTGGGATATAAATGGCGCCACCATTGCACCAATGCGACACAGGGAGCCGCTGATTCCCATCCCCAAAGCACGCATAGTGGTGGGGTAGACCTGCAGGGAGAGGCATAGAAAGTACCAGTCAGATAATGTCTGTCCTTCCCCGAGCCCTCCTCTTCCCCTTTCCTCCCCAGGTCAGGCTTTGGAATGCATCCAGTACCAAACACAGTTACAGAATATGGAGCAGAAGGTGTTCATTTTCTCAGGTACACAACTTTGAATTTTTGGGACAATATCAGCAAAAAATAAAGACTTCAAAATTATCCTTTAAATGAGCAAATTCCAAAAATGTGTTTCACTGAATATTCCAAATATAATTTTAGAAAGACAAGCTCTGGAATCAGACAGAAGAGTGCCACTTCAGAACTATAAATACATAAAAGTGATTCTACTGAATGGGAAGAAAATACTCCTCAAAGATCCGATGAAGTCTTCAATACAAATATAGCTAAGAGAATTAACCAGAGGGCCAGGTACTTGCCACACCATTCCCTGTGCTCTTATTTTTACTTCTTTTCTTTTTTAAAATTAGAGATGGGATCTTACTATGTTGGCCGCACTGGTCTTGAATATCTGAACTCAGCAATCCTCCCACCTCAACCTCCCAAAGTGCTGGGATTAGAGGCATGAGCCACCGTACCTGGCCCCTGTGTTCTTGTTAAATTCCCTAGCCTCTTTGCTGTTGCAGAATCTTACAGCATTTCCTTCCTACTTTCCTTCCTTCCTTCCTTCCTTCCTTCCTTCCTTCCTCCCTCCCTCCCTCCCTCCCCCGCCCTAGTCTCATCACTCTGTCACCCAGGCTGGAGCACAATGGTGCAATTTTGGCTCACTGCAACATCCACCTTCTGGGTTCAAGCGATTCACCTGCCTCAGCCTCCCAAGTAGCTGGGATTACAGGCGTGCACCACTGACCCTGGCAAAATTTTGTATTTTTAGTTGGTGGGGGCGGGGGCGGGTCTCTCCATGTTGGCCAGGCTGGTCTCGAACTCCTGACCTTAGGTGATCTGCCAGCCTCAGCCTCCCAAAGGGTTGGGATTACAGGCGTGAGCCACCATGTCCAGCCCTTTTTAACATTTTATTAAATTTTTATTTTATAGAGACAATGTCTTGCTATGTTGCCCAGACTGGTATCAAAATCCTGGGCTCAAGCGATCTTCCTGCCTCAGCCTCCCAAAGTGCTGGGATTACAGGTATGAGCCATCATGCCCAGGCATATTCTACTTTCTTGCTGCAACTTGTTCATATTTATAGTAAAATCTAATTGGTTTTTCATTGATTCAGAATTCTTAAAGGAACCAGAAGTTTAATAAGTCAGCAAGTCTTATTGAATAAATAGAATTGTAGGGAGAATACTTTCTAGGAAAGAATGGTTTCTCAAAATGTTGGAACATGTTCTTAGTGCTATAAAATACTGACAAAACAGGTTTATCAACTCTCTAAGGCAAAGCATGTAGCCCCCTTTAGTTGCCCACATCTTTGCCACCATCTGTCAAATGCAAAAAGCAAGATGCTTTCTGCCTCACAGGACAGTGCTATATTTACAGGAGAAGGTCTGGGGGTGGAATATCTTTATGCGGAGCTTTCTTATTTTCTGAAAAATGAGGTTGCTATGACTGAAAATAATGAATTCAGGTGATGGCTTCTTTGCTGTAATACTGATAAAGTCTTTTGTTCACATTGTGAGTCACCTGGAAGATGGAATAACAGAAAACTATCATTTTTAGTTATACATCTTTTTTGAAAAACAATATAAAAAATAAAACACTGGCCGTGCATGGTGGCTCACACGTGTAATCCCAGCATTTTGGGAGGCCGAGGCGGGCAGATAATGAGGTCAGGAGATCAAGAAAGACCATCCTGGCTAACACAGTGAAACCCTGTCTCTACTGAAAATACAAAAAATTAGCCAGGTGTGGTGGTGGGTGCCTGTAGTCTCAGCTACTCGGGAGGCTGAGGCAGGAGAATGGTGTGAACCTGGGAGGTGGAGCTTGCAGTGAGCCGAGATTGCACCACTGCACTCCAGCCTGGGCGACAGAGCGAGAGTCGGTCTCAAAAAAATAAATAAATAAATAAATAAATAAATAAAATACTTAGAAATGACCCTCAAAATGAGCAAATTCCAAAATATGTTTGACTGTCCATCTCAAACGCAATTCTAGAAGTACACCATGTTACTCATAGTTTTTTTGGTTTATAAATTTACAAAATAACTTTAGATTTGTTTTTGTTTTTAATTATGCAAACTTATTTTCTTAACTATGCAAAATTACATAAAGTCAATAATTTTTTTTTTTTTTCTTTTTGAGACTGAGTCTGTCACCAGGCTGGAGTGCAGTGGTGTGATTTCGACTCACTGCAACCTTTGCCTCCCAGGTTCACACAATTCTTCTGCCTCAGCCACCCAAGTAGCTGGGATTACAGGCACCCGCCACCATGCCTGGATAATTTTTGCATTTTTAATAGAGATGGGGTTTCACCACATTGGCCAAGCTGGTCTCAAACTCCTGATGTCAAGTGATCCACCTGTTTCAGCCTCCTAAAGTGCTGGGATTATAGGCATGAGTCACCGCACCCAGCCAATTAATTTTTATTCTAGGAATTTCATGTTGCAATTCCTTCCACTGTCCATCAAGTTCACCTTTGTTCCACTACAGAGCTGGAGTAAAACTTATCGTCAAAAGATCTTCAAGTTAGCCCTTTTTAATAGAACTGATACTTAATCCAGTTGTCCTGTCAGCCCATAATTCTTTTATTTTGGCTTCTTTCATCTCCTTTTAATATGGATATACTGATGAAGACTTCAAAATTCACCAAAACTCTTTGGGATCTAATTTCTTCAACCAATTTACTGTAGGGTCATTTTTGGAGTAGGTGGATCTGCCTCGTTCTCCATTTGATGCCCTCTGCGAATATGCATGAGTTCAAATCATATTCATTCCTAAGCTATCACAGCTCAAGAAGAGTAAAGACCTGTGGAATATGTCAATACCTTCAACCCCAGACATCACGTTCTCAAGATAAAAGCCTTTAAAACAAAAAGTCATCTTGATATATCAAGTCAACATGAAACTGGAATACAAAATGGATACAGCTGAGATTTTCCTCATATATTATGCTTTTAAACTCTCTATTTGATAGTCCTAGAACCAAACTTTTTTTTTTTTTTTTTTAATTTAGAGGCAGGGTCTAACTTTGCTGCCCAGGCTGGAGTACAGTGGTGCTATCAGAACTCACTGCAGCCTCCAACTCCTGGGCTCAAGCAATCCTCCTGCCTCAGCCTCCCTTTCCTAAGTAGCTACAATTACAGGTGCATGCCCCTACCCCTGGCTACTTTTTAATTTTTGTGGAGATGGGGTTTTAGTTTCCTTGCCAGGCTGGTCTTGAACTCCTGGCTTCAAGTGATTATCCCACCTCAGCCTCCCAAATTCAGGGATTGCAGGCATGAGCCACTGCGCCCAGCCTGGAACCAACCTTTATGGTTATCAATACTCCAATCATTTTAAAGTGTCTCAGGTATCATAATACCCCTTCTTACTTGTGGTAAAACTTATACTGAACAATGAGTTCCGGATTGCAAAAGAGGATTGATTTTTTTGTACCTGTCTATAAGCCAACTTTAGATTTTGTTCATAGAACTAAATGAAGTATTATGTATAACTCGAACATCTCATAGCTTTCTATTTTTATCTCTGTGTGGGAGAAAAAGTACTTTTCTCTGTGGGTTTAATGGTTTTTGACATGCCAAATCTTTCATCGCAATAGACTTCCCCATTTCCTGCCATGAAGCTGAAGGCAGCTGTATCAGTGTCTAAAGCACTGTTTCCTGTAGCTCAATGAATGACAAAACCAGTTAAAATACTGTTAAGTTCCCTATTCAAATATTGTTTCATTTCTAGGAATATAGGTTCTTTAAAGTGGGAGGTTTATGAGGAAAACTCCAGCTACCTCAGGCAGTACCTTGCACATAGATGTATTAATTCAATAAATTAATACAGAATAAATCAAGATTATATTCAAATGTAAGCTACATGCAGCAAATAACAGATGGAGGGGAAAGGATCTTCCAAAAGAATAAAAGTGAAAAATGTATTCTAATTTCAAAAAGAGAGAAAGGAAATTCTACATTTGACAGTAACGTGTTGCTACCTATTACTTCTGGAAGCCTAGTGCCAGGGCAAGGAGGTGGTTTTTCCATGCAAGCTATTTAAAGAAAGGAGGAAGATCCTGTCTTCCAGAGATTGGCTTTCAATAGACTGAACGGGGAAGGGGAAATTCACACCAAATAAACTTCTGGTGTCTTTTTAACAGATTGTTTTTAGAAAATCATCAAAAGTCAACAGAAACCAGGGATGCATTACCTTTGGATGGACACCCTAAGTAGCTCACCTTAGATACCCTGTTGTAAGGAAGCCCTGCATGAAAACTCACCTCAGCTGTGTAAATGTAGATAGTGTTGAAGTTTGCAGCTACCAGGGCCCTCAGCGTGAAGAGGAAGCCAATCAGGCCGGCACTACAAAACAGGAAGTGGAGAGAAATGATAAAAGGCAGCATGGAAGACCACCTCCTGTGGCCCAGTTCCAAGTGCACTGTGGATGATAAGACACACCCACAGATAACTCAGAAACCGAGGGAGGTACTGCTTCTCAGCTGGCCTGATTGTGGGGTCCTTAAGAAAACCTTCTTCCAATCTTACTCCCCACTGCCCTCTCCTTTCCCCAGTGCTGCCATTCAGCCTGGCCCCTCACGTTAGCACACCTGCTGGGCACGGTGGTTCACACCTGTAATCCCTGCACTTTGGGAGGCCGAGAGAGCTAGATCACTTGAGGCCAGGAGTTCAAGACTAGCCTGAGCAACATAGTAAGACTCTTTTTTTTTTTTCTTTTTTTTTTTTTTTTAAGACAGAGTCTGGCTCTGTTACCCAACCTGGGGTGCAGTGGCACGATCATGGTTCACTGCAGCCTCAGCCTCTCAGGCTCAAGTGATCCTTCCACCTCAGCCTCTTGGGTAGCTGGGACTACAGGCATCAACAACCACACTCAGCTAATTTTTGTATTTTTTGTAGACACGGGGTTTTGCCATGTTGTCCAAGCTGATCTTGAACTCCTGGGCTCAAGTGATCTACCCGCCTCAGCCTCCCAAAGTTCTGGGATTACTGGTATGAGCCACCAAATTTTTTTTTTTAATTGACCCAGCATGGTGGTGTGTGCCTGTAATCCTAGCTACTCAAGAGGCTGAGGCAGGAGGATGGCTTGAGCCCAGGAGTTAGAGGCTGCAGTGAGCTGAGATCGCATTACTGCATTCCAGCCTGGGTGACAAGGTGAGAGACCCTGTCTCAAAGAAAAAAAAAAAAATTAGCACACCTGCTGCTACCATCCCCTGGAAAACAGTGCAGAGAACCTGTAGAATAAATGATACATATCAGAGCTCAGGTCACTCCAGGACTGCAAATTAAGAGTGAAATGAGCAGAAGGCTCAAATAAGCACACTGTCTGTATTACTAAACTTTCTTGGCACTGGTTCAAATAATGTGATAAACAACCAGAGTCCCGATTCTCCAGGGAGCATTACATAACGATCGTCAGTGTTTTGGTAGGTAAAGTGAGTACACCATCATTGGCACCCATAATCCTGTGATAGCTGGAGGAAGATGGGGTCTGTAGGAAGAGGGAAGTGGGCAATAGGGAACAGGCAAGACCATTCTAGTCAAACAAGCAGCCCATTCTCCACTCTCCTGGGTGAAAGGGACTTGTCCCTGAAATTACTGAACACCATGGGTCAGGAGACTCCATTTAGAAACCACTGCAAAAAACCTGAAGCAACTAACCAGAAAATACCTTGAAGTGCAAATGTTGAGGAGAAGGAAGAATAAAGCCGTGCATCCCATGGTAATGGAAAGGCTCAGCCGTCTTCCCAGGAAATTGATGCCCAGGATATTTAAAGGATTCACTAGAAAGCAAACAGTAAAGATAATTTCTGGAACCTTGGAAGGCAAGTGGCATATTGCAACACTGGCATGGATTCATTCTTGTCGTTTCAGAAAGAAGCAACATCATCCAAACCTCATGAGTATTCCAGCCAAAATCCAGTCACGTTGTCATCAATTTCAAGACTTTTTACATATACTTTACCCACGTGGGTCCAAGAATTATAAGCACTGGTGCCCAGGATATTTATTATATCATGCAGGTCTATTGTAGATTGCCAGCTTGTCAGGCCTATATTTTAAGTGTTTTATATGTTTTCATCAAATTCAAGGTGCCTTTGATTTTTTTTCATCGGCTCAATTTAACATTCAGCCATTGATTTTTAAGTACCATCATTTTATGTCTACTAAAATAGAAATAATGCTGTCAATTGCAATCTAACAAGCCATTGTAAGCCACATTCCAATTTCAGAGATGTTAAAATGTAAGGGCGAAAAAAACACCTTACAATTGATAGAATACAGCACTTCAAAGCTCTACTCCTCCAGACTTCTCTTGCCAACACCAATCCAAATTGGAGATTTTTCAGCACTACTTTGTGACTTACTCAGTTCTGCTAGGCAGGAGCAGCATCACAGCATCACACTTCTCTCAGCTAAGACTCAAGTGCACATACATCACCCAAGACAGAGACCCAACATGCAGAGGGACACTTACAAGCAATTTCACCGATGGTGCTGATGATCATGGTCCGATAGTCAGAGGGTGCAAACATGTGGCAGTAGCAGGGGCTCTGGCTCTCCCCTGAGTTGCCCCCAGTCACCACCACCTCAGAGTCTGCCTTCGAACCACAGACCAGGTCCCGCTCCAGCAGCTCAGCACTGGCCAGGATAACCCCATAGTAGGCAAAAGAGATTCCAAGCCTGGAAGTGAGAAAAGAATGTCACTAGCAAACGCTGAGACCAGACCTGAAGGATGAGTGGGGAGGGGATACCAAGTGGAACGTGCAGCATGTGGAAAGCAAAGAGAGCAGAAAGTCAGGTTCAGATGCTACACAGAGCATCTGTGGAAGTATCTCTTACACATCATACAGATGTACACATGCCTGTTGGGTGTAAACCTAGGAGCGGAATTGCTGGGCCATAGTATACACATACTTCCAGCTGTAATAGAGACCTCCAGTTTTTCTTTTTTTTTTTTTTTTTTGAGACAGAGTCTCGCTCTGTCGCCCAGGCTGGAGGGCAGTGGCGCGATCTTGGCTCACTGCAAGCTCCGCTTCCCGGGTTCACGCCATTCTCCTGCCTCAGCCTCCCAAGTAGCTGGGACTACAGGCGACTGCCACCACACCCGGCTAATTTTTTGTATTTTTAGTAGAGATGGGGTTTCCCCGTGTTAGCCAGGATGTTCTCGATCTCCTGACCTCGTGATCCGCCCGCCTCGGCCTCCCAAAGTGCTGGGATTACAGGCGTGAGCCACCGTGCCCGGCCAAGACCTCCAGTTTTTCAAAGTGGCTGTACTAATTTGAACTCCAGTCAGCTGTGTATGAAAATTCCAGTTACAGCCGGGTGCAGTGGCTCACACCTGTAATCTCAGCACTTTGGGAGGCTGAGGTGGGTGGATCACGAGGTCAGGAGATCGAGACCATCCTGGCTAACACAGTGAAACCCTGTCTCTACTAAAAATACAACCCAGGAGGCGGAGTTTGCAGTGAGCTGAGATTGCGCCACTGCCCTCCAACCTGGGAAACAGCGAGACTCCATCTCAAAAAAAAAAAAAAAAAAAAAAGAAAGAAAATTCCAGTTACTTTGCCTCCTTCTCAACCCTTGGTATTGTCAGTTTTTCATTTTAGCCATTCTCTTGGACTGGCAGATTTGTAATGGTATCTTGTTGGGTTTTAATTTGCATTTCCCTGGCAACTTTAAGGTTGAGCATGTTTTGATGTGTTTATCTGGTATACGTTTTTGGTGAAGTGCCTGTTCAAGTCTCTTGCCTATTTCTAAATTGGGCTGTTGGCTGGGCATGGTGGCTCATGCCTGTCATCCCAGCACTTTGGGAGGTTAAGGCAGGAAGACTGCTTGAGGCCAGGAGTTTCAGACCAGCCTGGGCAACAAAGCAAGACCCATTCTACAAAAGCAAAATAAAATAAATTTTAAAACTTAAAAAATTTTTAAAAACTTAAATAAACTGAGTTGTCTATTTTTTCCTGTTAAAAAAAATTATATGCCTAATATATAGCATATTTTATATATATGCGTGTGTATGTGTGTGTGTGTGCGTGTGTGTGTATATATATATAATTTGCTGGAAATACACATTGCAAATTTCTTCTTCCCATGGATGGCTTACCTTTCAGGCTCTTCATGATTTTTTTTTTTTTTTTTTTTTTTTTTTTTTTTTTTGAGGCAAAGTTTCATTCTGTCACCCAGGCTTGAGTGCAGTGGCTCAATCTTGGCTCACTGCTACTTCCACCTCCTGGGTTCAAGCGATTCTCTTGCCTCGGCCTCCCAAGTAGCTGGGATTACAGGCACCCACCACCACACCCAGCTAATTTTTTTGCATTTTTAGTGGAAACAGGGTTTCTCCATGTTGGCTAGGCTGGTCTCGAACTCCTGACCTCAGGTGATCTGCCTGTCTCAGTCTCCCAAAGTGCTGGGATTACAGGAGTGAGCTACCACACCCAGCCTTCTTCATGATATCTTGACATGGTTCCTAAGTTCCTAATTTAATGTATTAAAACTCATCAATCTTTTCCTTTATAGTCTGCATGTTTTCATCCTGTTTAGAAAATCTTTGCTTACTCAAGGTCATGCTGCAGAGAAATGAAACACAGAGGGTACCACAAGAGTCTGTGCCATTGGACTTGATGATTGGTGACTTCAAAGGACAAGTTTCTGTCATGTGGTGAGGAAAAAGACCAGGCTGCAAAAGTTAGGAAGTGAGCTCATATGCTCATAAGAAAAATTTTTAAATTGGTTGAAGACAATTAGGGATTTTTCCTCTATCTGTCTATGTATCTATTTACTTATTTAGTGGTAGTGGTGTTTGTAGAATGACAAGACATTGCTTGTTTTTGTAATATTTGGAGTTGGTCTTATGTTTTTCTCCCCAGTGGCACTCACGTAGATTTACTTAAATAGGCTTCCTCCCAATGCCTCTATTTAAAACTAGTTTTGAAATAATTACACTCTTACCATATGACCCAGATCTGTAACGTGGTCCGTAGATATTTAGCATCCAATAGGTCTGCAAATCTTCCTCTTTTTTCCTGGGGTAATGAAAAGAGGGAGACAGAATATACTCAGCAGGTTAAGGATGAACGAAGGTTTCCACTATTTTCTATCCTAGAAGATGAGAATCATATTGGAGCATGGTGGCCTGGGATAACCACTCAGCTCCTATGAGTACAGCTGACACAAACCCAGAGTTAATTGCTTTAAACACATCTGTCTCAGCCAGATCTGTCTTTTGGCTTTTTCTTATCACTGACAATTACCAAAGCTCACTGAATTTAAGATCCTAACCTTTTGCTCTTCCTCTGCTCACCAGCACTGGTGCGGGGGTGGGGAGGGTAGGAGGACACATGCAAAGTAACTGTGAAACTGATGAGAGATTCTTCTAAAATTGGCATTAAAACGAAAACTCTTATATTAAAAAAAGAATATGAGACTTGTTAAGAAAACAACGGCATCAAGTTGAAAAAGGACAGAATGCCTAATTTCTTTTTCTGTCTCTAAGGCATGTAGTTAGCAAAAGTTCTTGACCATAGTACCTGTTCAATACCTTTGGACAAAAACAAGTAAGAATGGGCTGGGTGTGGTGGCTCACGCCTGTAATCCTAGCACTTTGGGAGGCCAAGGCAGGTGGATCACCTGAGGTCGGGAGCTCAATACCAGCCTGACCAACATGGCGAAAGCCCGTCTCTACTAAAAAGACAAAAATTAGCCGGGCGTGGTGGAGCATGCCTGTAATCCCAGCTACTTGGGAGGCTGAGGCAGGAGAATCGCTTGAACCCAGGAGGCGGAGGTAGCAGAGAGCCGAGATCACGCCATTGCACTCCAGCCTGGGCAACAAGAGTGAAACTCCGTCTCAAAAAAAGAGAAAAAAAAAACAAGGAAGAGTTACCTGATGGCACAGTAATCGATTTTTATGTAAAGCTAGGAATGCTTCAGATGAGGGCACGCCATTGAAAACCAACAGCTCTTTTCTCAGAAAGAGACCTGGGATTACAGGCTCTTTCTAGAGACACCGGGAATGTGGTCCTTGGGTGCCCCAGATTTTGTTATCACAGAAAGTTAGAGTTTGAAGGTAACTTAGACGCCTTTTGCTCCAATGGTTAATTTTTAGTTTTTGTGGGGCACATAGTAGGTATGTCTATTTATGGGGTACATGAGCTGTTTCGATACAGCTCATGAAATAAGCACATCATGGAAAATGGGGTACCCATCCCCTCAAGCATCTATCCTTCAAGTTACAAACAACCCAATTATGTACCTCAAGTTATTCTAAAATGTACAATTATTATTAACTATACTCACTGTTTTGCTATCAAATAGTAAGTCTTATTCTATTTTTTCTGGCACACATTAACCATCCCCACCTCCCCTTATGCTTCCACTACTCTTCCCAATCTGACCAAGGCCCGTTCCACATTCCCGCATCTGGTCTCAGTGCACATCTCCTGGGGCCTGCAGTGCCCTCTCCCCTCCCCAAAGGCTTTTTTCCTTTTTTTTTTCTTTGAGGAGTCTCACTCTGTCACCTGGGCTGGAGTGCAGTGGCATGATCTTGGCTCACTGCAACCTCCGCCTCCCAAGTTCAAGCAATTCTTGTGTTTCGGTTTCCCGAGTAGCTGGGACTACAGGTGTGCACAAAATCGCCCAGCTAATTTTTGTAATTTTAGTAGAGATGGGGTTTTACCATGTTGCCCAGGCTGGTGTTGAACTCCTGACTTCAGGTGATCCACCTGCCTTGGCTTCCCAAAGTGCTTAGATTACAGGCATGAGCCACCATGCCTGGCAGGCTCACTCTCCTTTTAGTGTTGTTTATGTCCCATTTATCCCCGAAAGAGGCTCAGACTGCCATGGCTCAGTCCCTTCTGCTCTGATCACACACACACACACCTACACCCAACCTGGTTCTAAGCATCTGGGCTCTGTTATTTATTCCTTCATATGTGATGCTCATTTCATTAACCAGATTGTAAGATTGTGACCAGACCAAAGGCAGGGTCTACTGCCAGTAGCTCTGGGCCTTGCTCAAGAGATGACTGTGGAGGGCCGGACGCGGTGGTTCACGCCTGTGATCCCAGCACTTTGGGAAGCCAAGACAGGTAGATCACCTGAGGTCAGGGGTTCAAGACCAGCCTGGCCAACATGGTAAAACCCCATCTCTACTAAAAATACAAAAAATTTAGCCAGGTGTGATGGCATGCACCTATAATCCCAGCTGCTCGGGAGGCTGGGGCAGGAGAATCACTTGAACACGGGAGGTGGAGGTTTCAGTGAACCAGGATCACGCCACTGCCTTCCAGCCTGGGTGACAAGAGCAAGACTCCATCTCAAAAAAAACAGATGACTGTGAAGAAGATCACTTAATGGGCATGATGGATGGAGGCCGAAAGCTGAAGGCTTAAGAAAAGTGGAGAGGAGGAGGAAAGGGGACAGAAGGATGGAAGAGGGAAGGTGAAGAATGGGGGATGGAGAAGGTGGAGGGAGAGGTGAGGTAGGAGAGGAAAAGCAGAGGAAGTAGGATGTGGAGGGAGGAGGCCAGACAGAGGAGCCAGGGGTGGAAAGGAAGAATGGAGAATGTGCAGGGAAGATGGGAGATAGGGGATTGTGGAGGGAGGATGGCGGAGGGAGGAAAAAGGAGGAGGAAAGAGGAGAGATAACTTATTTCTGACCTCAGTGCTCTTCAGTCTTAGAGTTCCAACTACTGCATTCAGTTCACAAAGCACATGCCAAAAACAGTTGTACTCAGCTATCTTATAATCTTACAGCTATCCGTGGTTTTGAGTTAATTATCTCTGCTAAGATTTTTTCTTTTTGCAACTATTTTTATTGTTTACACTATTGACAATCAGAATTTTACAGCCACCTAAAGATTATGTTCCAGTCTCTATAAACCATAATAGCTTCCTTCTTTTAATCATAGTTGCCTAGCAACTAGTTCATCCTCCCACCCTGCTTTGCTGGGTAAGAGGTGATTGTCAGTATCTCGGTAGGAAGGAAGAAGGGAGCTGACGCTGTAATAGTAGCTTTCTGAACTCCAAACCCATGAGAGTGTATTTCCAATATTTAAAAATAAACTAGTATGATGGAATCATTCTGAATCCTTTGGAAGAAAATTGGGGTTTCTTGTTTAATATGGTTTGGTTATTTGTCCCCTCCAAGTCTCAAGTTGAACTGTGATTCCCCAGTGTCGGGGGTGGAGCCTTATGGGAGGTATTTTGGTCATGGGGGCAGATCCCTCATGAAGGGCTTGGTGCTCTCCCTGCAGGAATGAGTGAGTTCTCACTCTACCGGTTCATGCGACAGCTGGTTTAAAGGAGCCTCGCACCTCTCTTGCTCCCTCTCTCACCATGTAACGTGCCTGCTCCCTGTTCACTTTCTGTCATGAGTAGAGGCTTCCTGAGGCCTCACCAGAAGCCCTGCAGAGGCTGGTGCCATGCTTATACAGTCTGCAGAACCATGAGCCAAATAAACCTCTTTTAACAGTCACCCAGTCTCAGGTATTCCTTTATAGCAATGCAAAATGAACAGACGCACTGCTCCAGGATTATAATAGGTTTTGAGATACATATAATAACGGGGGCAACACTCCACAGAAGCAAGTGAGAATACCTTACCAAAATACAATGATGAATATGGGGAAGGTTTGGCATACCGAATGCTCACGATATTTGCATTACTATAGAGCACACGCCACCTCACTCTTAAAATGCAGGCCAGATGGTAGTGGGATTCAAGACTTTTTTCATCAGTGATGTCCTCGGCAACCAATCAGGAACACCCAGGGCAGCCCACCTCTTGCCTGTGTGTAGGACACTCAGACATCACTTGTCCCATGGCGGCTACAGGATCCTGAGAATGCAAAGATTCAGGGCATGGGTAGCACTGCTGGTATGGACCCATCTCAGACACAGAGCATGAGCTGAGGGCAGAAGAGCCTTTCCCATGGTCCTGCCTGCCCCAGCAAGGTTGTGCACCAGCAGCTTTTCTCTGTACCTCCTGGTCTCCCTGTCATGCATTCATTCCCTGCCTTGGCGTTGATGCCATCTCATTCTACCAGATGTCTAGTATCCTTGGATCCTGTCCTTCCTCATCCTATCAAAATCTGGGGACCTGGTGCAGTGGCTCATACCTACTATCCCAGCACTTTGGGAGGCAGAGATGAGAGGACTGCTTGAGGCCAGGATTTGAGACCAGCCTAAGCAACATAGCAAGACCTCATCTCTATTAAAAAATAAGAAAATTAAGGCCAGGCACGGTAGCTCATGTCTGTAATTCCAGCACTTTGGGAGGCCAAGGTGGGAGGATCAGTTGGGGCCAGAAATTTAAGACCAGCCTGGGCCAGTGAGACCCTTTTGCAACAAAATAATTTAAAAAAAAACAAAAAAAAAATAGCCAGGTCTGGTGGTGCACACCTATAGTCCCAGCTATTCAGGAGGCAGAGGCAAGAGGATCACTTGAGCTGAGGCTGCAATGCGCCAAGGTCACGCCACTGCACTCCAGCTTGGATGACAGAACAAGACCCTGTCTTTTAAAAAAACAAGTAAATAAAAATGAAAAAATTAGCCAGAGGCATGGT